CGCCCCGGGCCTGTCTAGAACTTTCCCTCTCCCTCTCTCCTCACCGGCTTGGTCAAGAACCGACCCAGCTCGCTACGGCTCTTCTCGTTCTTGGCTGTGTGAGGATCTAGGCTGAATCTCAGCCTTACACACACACACACACACACACACACACGCACACACACACCCTGTGCAATTTGTGGACAGGAAAAGGAGAGGGAAAGTGAAGGAAGGGGTGACACTGTCCAAAAAAGAAATGTACTCTTTACCTGACTTTTTTTTTTTTGGGGGTCCGGTCGTGGGGCCTGAACTCTGGGCCTGGGCGCTGCTGTCCCTCAACTCTTCAGCTCAAGGATAGCACTCTACACAGAGCCACTTCCGGCTTTTTTCTTTTTGCTTATGTGGTGGTGAGGAATCGAATCCAGGGCCTCAGGCATGCAAGGCAAGCGCTCTACCACTGAGCCACCTTCCCAGCCCTCATTACCTGACTTTTGAAATGGTTACCCCTCTTACACTACCATAGTAATAACAATAAAATTACATTTTTAATTACATGTAATTACATTTAAAAAACTCTCAAATATCAAATCATTTAAAAGATTTTGTTATTAAATGTTAAAAATTTTAAACATTTTTAACATAGTAACAAAATTCTTTGAAAGGATTTGTCTTTTTTAAATTTTATTTTCTTGTAAAGATGCTATACAGAGCGGTTACAGTTACATCAGAGTAAGGTAATGAGTACATTTCTTGTCGGGCATTGTTACCTGCTTCGTTGTTTTTCTCTCACTATCCCTTCCCTTCTCTACCTACCCCCAAAGTTGGAAGGTTCATTGTGAGTATCATTGTTGGAATGGGTCATCTGTGTCCTCATTTCAGCATTTTGTATTCCCCTTCATCTCCCCAAATTAAATAAATGCAAGGTACCAAAATCAAATACAGTGACAAGAGGGATACACCACAGGAGAAAGAACATACAAAAGAAACAACGAAAAAAATCATACAGTACATTAAAAACAACAACGAAGAAAAACCTCGTGTCCATATTTTGGGCTTCACTTCATGTAGCATCATTTTATATGGTCGCATATACAAAGCTTTTGACCTTTTCTGCTCATCTGGTAAGATTTTAGTTTTATAATTTAGGAATTTCTAACTAATAAGTATTATTTCTAGTTAATTCTAATTAATTATAGTTAATTTCAAGTTAATTCTTTCATGAACTTACTTCCTTTTCACAACAAGATAGAGATTTTTTTCAGACACAAAAATGTTTGTTGGGGAGCTGGGAAGGTGGCTTAGTGGTAGAGTGCTTGCCTTGCATGCATGAGGTCCTCGGTTTGATTCCTAAGCACCACATAAGCAGAAAAAGCCGGAAGTGGGGGCTCAAGTGGTAGAGCGCTGGTCTACAGCTGAAGAGCTGGGGGACAGAGCCCAGGCCCAGAGTTCAGGCCCCACAACTGACAAAAAAAAAAATGTTTGTTGGTAAAAACAAACCAAGGCTAATTTATTTTGCTTATTCATTTTCCAGTCATGGGGCTTGAATTCAGGGCCTGAGCACTGTCCCTGGGCATTTTTGCCCAAAGCTATCACTGTACCACTTGAGCTACAGCTCCACTTTTCTTCTGGGTTTTTGGTGGTTAATTAAGTCTCAGATTTTCCTGCCTAGGTAAGCTTCAAAGCATAATCTTCAGATCTCAACCTCCTGATTATCAGCTGGGATTACAAGTGTGAGTCACCAACTCCCAGCAGTTTTGAGGTATTTTTGGCTGTGTGTGTATATGTGTGTGTGTTTAATAGCATCTTCCCATATTAGTCAAAGCTGCCCTTAAATTTGCATGTGGGAGTTGAACAGGTTACAAGTGTTTACTACCACCTAGCTATTTCTTTTTTGTCGGTCGTGGAGCTTGAACTCTGGGCCTGGGCGCTGTCCCTGCGCTCTTCAGCTCAAGGCGAGTGCTCTACCTCTTGAGCCACAGCACCACTTCTGGTTTTCTAGTGGTTTAGTGGAGACCAGAGTCTCACGGACTTTTCTGTCCAGGCTGGCTTTGAACTGCGATCCTCAGATCTCAGCCTCCTGAGTAGCTAGGATTACAGGTGTGAGCCACCGGCGCCCAGCTTCCACCTAGCTGTTTCCTAAAAGCACCAAAAGTCAGGCTTTGTACTACATTTTTGTTTTTTTTGAGGGGGGAGGGAGTGGTGCCAGACCTGGGGCTTGAAGTTAGGGCCTGGATGCTGTCCTTGAGCTTATTTCCTCAAGGCTAGTGCTCTACTCCTTTAGACATATTTCCACTTCTGTTTTGTTTTTTGTTTGTTTTGTGGGTACTTAACAAGAGACTCCAGGACATTCCTACCTAAGCTAGCTTTGAACCTTTGAACCCTGATCCTCAGATCTCAGCACACACATCAATCATGGGTTTAAACTGAGGACCTGGTCACTGTTCCTGAGATTTTGTTCTCTACTTCTTGAATTATACATAGCTTCACTTAGGGTTGTTGTTTTTTTTTTTCTCTGAAGCACGATCCTCAGATCTCAGTCTCAGTTGCTATGATTACAGGTGTGAACCACTGGTACCCAACTGTACTATTTTTAAAAAATTCTTTAAAAGAAGATTCTTCTCCCAACTGTCCATTATTCAACCTTATATTCTGAATGAAAAAGAGAGATTTTGTTTATAGTAAGCTGCTAAAAATCTTTTGAAGATCTCATGAGTAAGCCAGTTGGTTACGAGGATATGGAAAATAAATTAGAACACAGTAGAGGTCAGGAGGAATGGTGTAAGTGGTAGAATACTACAAAAAAAAAAAGACAGTATAGGCAAAAATTGAGGAATAGTAACTCAAAAATAATGGGGCTAGACATTAACATCTCAAAAATAAACAGAAACCTTTGCACAGTGATCTATGTCCAAATATGGTTTCTATTCATATTAAAACAATATTAGGTGCTTTTCATTCAAATAATGTTAACTATAAACCAATAGAAAAATGATATACTAGATGTTACAAATTTTCTTCCATAAAAATACGAAGTATTTAAGTAATCAAGTATTTAATACTCAGTGAAGTAATTTTTTCCAAGAAAAAAATTTAATTAATTACTATTGCCTTTATAAACCTGTAGAAATATTGCTGGAAGAAACAAATGTCATAATAATTTGTTACAGTAAATCCTGTCATCTGTTTAGATGACAACAGAGTTTGTTTATTACACATTTTTTTTTTCTGTCTGGTACTGGGGCTTGAACTGAGAGCTTTCCATTCCATTGAAATTTTCTTTTAATGCTGGTGCTCTAGCACTTGAGCCACACCTCCAATTTTCAGCTTTTTGCTGGTTAACTAGAGATAAACAACCTCACCAACTTTCCTGGCTGGCTTTGAACCTCTATCCTTAGATCTCAGCCTCCTGAGTAGGATTAGAGGCATAAGCCACAAATTCCAGACTAGAACATGTTTTGTAGTTTAAAATATTCAGTACTCAGAAAATGTGAAAAAACACTTTACTAAAATGACTACATAAACTGTATTGGTTATGAAACATACTGCTATACAAGAATATTTTCTTTCATTCTTCATCTGTAAAATGTTTTTTTTGTTTTTTGTGTGTCGGTTATGTGGCCTGAACTCTGGGCCTGGGCACTGTCCCTCAGCTCTTCAAGGCTAGCGCTCTAGCGCTTGAGCTGCAATGCCACTTCTGGCTTTTTCTATTTATGTGGTGCTGAGGAATCAAACCCAGGACCTCATGCATACAAGGCAAGCACTCTACCACTGAGCCACCTTCCCAGCTCCCTGTAAAATGTCAATAATCATCAAATGGGTTTCTCCTTATGTAAGACTTATCAGGAATCAGAAAGTTGAGGAGGGTTCCATGCTGACCTGAACTGCATCAGGCCAACTCTACTACAGCAGCTGAGGCATCTTAGGTGCCTGCAATGATCCTCCAACTTGTGACTAAATCAGGAACTCATCTGGTTGTCTTTCATGTACTTCTCAGATCTTCAAAGACTAACACACCATTAGCTGCAAGAGGACAGTGTCAAACATTTATTATACATTAACTACCTGCATTTTGACTTCTCAAAGAGTTTCTTTAGCTGCTGGAATCTCTCTGAAACCTGAAAAATTAAAAATGATAATAAACATCTCATTTTTTCATCTTTGATGCATATTTTCAGAAAACATCTATAAACAGCAAAAATTATCCTCAGTAACAGAGATGAAGTAATGTTTTAAAAAAGGGAATTTTTTTTTTTTTGTCAGACATAGGACTTGAACTCACGGCCTGGGAGTTGTCCTTGAGCTTTTTCGCTCAAGGCTAGTACTCAACCACGCTACCACAGCACCACTTCTGATTTTTTGGTAGTGAAATGGGGGTATGAGTCTCATGGACTTTCCTGTCTGAGCTGGTTTTGAACCACAATCCTCATCCCAGACTCCTGAGCCACCAGTGCCTTATTATGTTGATTGCTTACCTTAGCTTTCATTTGCTACATCTTATTAAATAAGGAAACATTACTAAATACTGAGGTGAAATAAAATGGTAAGGCATAAGGGAAAAAAATATCAGTCATTTCTGTCATGCTTCTTCCACAATCAAGCTTATTAGTCCTATAATAAGCCAAATTTTAAAATACACGAACTAGTAAATGTCTTTGTATCTTAACACACTGAAAATTATATCTGGGCTGGGGTTAACTATTTGCCTAGCATGTATATGACTCTGGGCTCTTTCCCCAGGGTAGGGAAATCTAAGTATGTCAAGTAACAGTATCTGTGAACCACCAGAGATGTAAAAATTGGATAATTACCTGATTTGGATTTTTATTCAACTTGATTGCCAAATATGTGAAGGTCTTCAGTGATGGCATTCTTTTCTGACACTCTAGTAAAATTTCCCGGTCATCATTTCTAAGGAAGGAATGTAAAGGTCATAAATTCCCCTGCTTTAATATCCACTAGTAAGTGATATTTTTAGTAAATCCAACAGGAAAAACTACATATACCAAAATATGAACAATACTTACCTCTAAAGACAAGTTTATGATTTTATTCTTTGAGCCCGTATGTATTTCCACAATTTTCTACAAATGCGTTATTTTTACTGATAAATTTTAATTTTTATCTTTAATTTTACCTTTCATGTATATACTACTTAAAACATTAAGGATCAAAAATGATTGGACAGAGTAAACAGAAAAACCAAAACTAAAACAAAATCCTCAATCACAGAAACTTCTAATTTGGACCTGTGTTTGTCACATGGTCTAATCTCTGAGACTTTAAGCTGACATCTACAAGTAACTTGAAATGAGTATTTCAGGATTGTGGCACTTAACAAAACACCACTAGCTTTACGAAAAATTTTCCCTCAGTAAGCATTCTCATCTAGTATAGAAACTATTAAACTCTAGGCCCACTATTCACAACTATGATTATCTTTATGTCTGAGGTTTGTTTTTTTTTTTTGTATCAGTCCTAGGGCTTGAACTCAGGACCTGAGCGCTGTCCTTGAGCTTTTCTGCTCAAGGCTAGTGTTTTACCACTCTGAGCCATAGCTCCACTTGTGGTTTTCTAGTAGTTAACTGGGGCTAAGAGTCTCAGACTTTTCTGCTGTCCAGGCTGGCTTCAAACAACCATTCTCAGATCTCAGCCTCCTGAGTAGGTAGGATTACAGGTGTGAGCCACCAGTGTCTAGCTGTGAATTGGGTTCTTAAAATCTGAATTTCTCAAAAGCTTACATAAAACTAAAGTACCATTTGTGAAAGTCTGGAAAGTTGAAATCTAGGAAAAAACGATGGACCCATCCATTTTTTTGCTTTACCACATTCACTACTTGTCATTCTTACTTTCTAAAATGTGTTTATATCTGTTCCTTCCAAATGAAAGAGTTCTTTTTAATTGAAAAAGTGAAGTTAAAATGCAGTGAATCAGGGCACAATGGTACACACCTAATCCAAGCACTTGGAATGCTGGAAAAGGAGGATCACAAGCTAAAGGCCAGCCCAAACTAGGTAGTAAGACTATCACAAAAAAAAAAACATAATGAAAAGCTCTACCCAGAGGGGTCATTTACATCCATATACACACACACACACACACACACACATATATAGATAGATATGAAAGCTATTATTCTAGACTGGGCTACAGAATAGCTGGATTGTACCCCCGGGATGTATCCCCAAGTAACTCTGGCTACTTTTTTTTTTTTTGGTTGGTCGTGGGGCTTGAATTCTGGACCTGGGCGCTGTCCCTGTGCTCTTCAGCTCAAGGCGAACGCTCTCCAGCTTGAGCCACAGTGCCACTTCTGGTTTTCTAGTGGTTTACTGGAGATAAGAGTCTCACGGACTTTCCTGCCCAGGCTGGCTTTGAACCGTGATCCTCAGATCTCAGCCTCCTGAGTAGCAAGGATTATAGGCATGAGCCACCAGCGCCTGGCTCTCTGGCTACTTTTGAAGTAGCTCATCATTTTCCTTGGTTTAGTATGGAATACAGAAAAAAATGACACCACAAAAAAGGCTCAAAACTTACTGGTGCCTAAAAGGTCTCAAAAGATTATTACCTTGTCCACGAAACTATAATTTCTCCCTTCTTTTTAATAACATTTTTTGCAGAAAGGCTAGCTGGCAAAGTGGCAAGTACCGCTGATGAATCATTAATCCCCGGGCTTGATGAGAGATCTTTATTCAATGTAAGAGTCCTTTTCTTATTGCTTTTCTTTTGTTGAACGTTGTCATTTTTATCACAATCTTGGTTAAGTTTCTTAGACTTTTCTCCATTAGTTAAGTCTCTTTCCCTTTTTTGTTTTTTCTGAGAATGATTTACATCAGAATAGTTTTTTCTTTTTTTGTGAGCATTATCCAAAGTCCCAGGTAACTCCAAACTATCAGAATTTGGTGGTGGCGTCAATTTTAAATCATCCTTATTTACTTCACATGAATCTGGTTTTAAATCACCCTTATTTACATCACATGAATCAGACTCTGGGGTCAAATCAATACAAGTTTCCTGAACAATGCATTCCACAGGCTTGTTTTTCATTTGCAACTTTTCTTCCTTACAGTTATCCTCATCCACACATATCACTTGACACTCTAAACCTTCAACAGCTAGTGTGGTGTCATTACCTTCATTTTTACTGTCATTTGAAGCATCTTGTGTCAAATCAATAAAAGCATTAATAGTATCAGACTGTGAAGAATTACCCAGTATTTGAGTGCCTTGATCTAATTTGCTTCCAGAACAACCAAACTGATCAACATTTAAAACTGCTACTTCTACGATTTCTCCCAAGTTTTTGGTCTCAGACACCGGATCTTTTGTTAGATCTATGTATGTGTCAGGAAGATGATCCTCAACAGAGTGTGGGATTTTTTCCATTGAAGTCAATTCTTCAAGGCTTTCAGGAACTCTTGGCTCCCATACTTGGTGCAACTTAAAACAATCATCAGCCACTTCAACACTGTGGCTCTCTTTACCTGAAGCATCTTTAAGAAATTCATATATTGGTGGAGCCTGAGTTTGTATCACAGAGTTCTGTCCATGAGTTGATTTGTTGCTATCAACATTTGTGTCAAAATTTTCCAATTCCTCTACAGATTTCAAAACCGTGTTCTGACATGAAACATATTCTTTCTCTGCTACTTCATCAGCTTCCTTTCCAACTTTGGGCAAAGATGTCAATGACCCATTAACAACCATACTATGTTCAAGACCAGGAGAGGTAGATGGTGCTGCACGCCGTATTTTCACAATGAAATGATCATTGGACTTTTCCATTATGACAGCATGCATGGGTAGATTAGGGTGGTACTGAAAGCCTGGAGCAACAGATCGGCTTGTCCACGATGACGAACAACTTGACTTACTGCTTGAGTTATCAGACTCCAGAGCTAAATGAATATCTTGTTCAGATGCATCCTCTTCTTCAAGTAAGGCATCTTCACTAAAATGTGCACTAATAACTTCTTCAGGAGTAGAACTTGACAAAACTTCAGGCTTTAGGAAACTCAGATGACCATCTGACTTCAGTGGTGATGGTACAGTCAAAGACACTGCGAGATCTTCAAAGAGTATGGAAGAAATGTAGGGTTTGCTCTTTTCTGAAGTGCATACATTATCTTTAGCTAAACCCATGTTAGCAGAAACTTCAAACATACAACTTTCATCTAACACATCAGGATGCACTGGCAATGAAAGCCCTGAAGACAGAGAAGGACCTTTTTCAGATGATAAGGACCAATTGTCATCACCAATCATTTTTGGACATGGAGAAGCTACTCCAGAAACAAGCTCTTCTGTTGTACAAGCTGGAATAGATTCACACTTAAGACTCTCTAGCAGCTGTTTCTCTGGAGTCTTTAATTCCCACTCAGTTTTTTCAATACAGTTAACACTGTTGTCCAAAAGATCAGAACCTTGTAACAAACTTTTAAATATTTCACCCATCTGTGCATCACTCACTAAATTAAAAGTGAGGCTAGATGCTTGCTGTTCAGTGAGGATCTCAAAACTACGCTCTGGCTTCAACCCTGTGTGTTGAGATACTGGTATATCCTCAATGGTGTTGCTTTCACTTTTGGCTGGTTTGGGAGTGCTAGGACAGCTTAGTTCCAAAGAGTGCTCTTCAGATTCAGGGTTCTTCATGCTTTCAAAGCAGGTGTTAACATTTCTTTTACTGTCAGGCTTCACTGTGTCAGTGTTATTTTGGGTTGGATGTTTTTCTTCAGACTTTTTACATTCCAGTAGAGACTTAAAATTCACAGAGTCTTCTGATTTTGACAATTTTTCCCTCTGAATTTCTTTGTTGAAATTGTCCTTATTCCTCTTCTGACAATATGAATATTGTGTTCTCTCTTTATACTTTTTAGCAAGCTTTCCTCCATTACTGTCACTTCCAAAGTTTATGGAATCACAAAATTTTACTAAAATTTTCTTAAGCTTTTCAAATAAATAATCAAGTTGTTCATCTACAAATTTCCACAGTTTCTTTTTCATATCTGGTAGTTGCTGTTCAAATAAACGATCAACTATGCCATTCTTCTTAACTTGCTTAAGGTTAGATTCAATAACATCACAGAGGTTCTTCTGTAAAGTAGTTACTGATTTAGAGATCTTGGAAAAATCAAGGTATTTAATTAATGATGTAAACCTCAAAGCTGCTGACTCAATAATCCTTTGAAACTGTATCAATGAAAATTTTACCTTGAATTTCATGTAACTTTTCCTTACATGTTTTCCTATCATTCGTAGCATATGCATAATCTCCCAAACAGAAGATGGTACAGTAATAATTGGAATTATTTTTTCTAAGCTGGAAATGCTCATTGTTTTATCCTTTCTCTTTGATTTTGAAGATCTGCTAGGTTCATTGGGTCTTTTATTCCACTTGCTATTGTTCCATTTGTTAGTGTTCGGAAATTCAACAGAAACTCTAGGTTTGGCACATATTTCAAAATGTTTTTGTGGTATAGATTCTTCACTGTCACTTCTAATTTCTCCTTCTTCCAATTCATCTAAAAATGATTTCTTACAGGAATCTACTTCTGTACATTTGTCAGATTTTTGAGTTGGGTTTTGGTTCTCTTTATTGAGACCAGGCAGACTCTTGGAGGTAGAATGATCTGAATTTGATGGAAATACATCTGCAGAAGAGAAATATTAAAGTCACAAAACCAGTGAATCATAGTCATTTGATATTCCTATCCTAAACAGAACAAAAGAACCTGTGCTAATGCCCAATACTTCATCTTTTTCATTGCTCTTTACTGGTCTTACAAAGAGCTCAGAGGGACTAGTTATATATAGCTCAGTGGTAGAGCACTTGCCAAGTATGAATTCAACTCCTGGGTTTGATTCCCAGTAAGGCAAAAGGGACTGAGGAGATACCTGTCAAGTGTAAGAGTTTGGTATTCCAACAATCACTATTTCACTTGAGCAGCTATCATCTACTTCTGTTATTTGATCATAGTCTTTGAACAAAAGTATACCTAAAACCTAGACCTAGGATATAGGTCAGTGCGCTTGGCATGCATGAAATCCTGGCTTCTATCCCTAGCAACAGTAGGTAGATATTTAACTAGCTAGATAAGTACTATTTGAAATAATCTGTCCTTTTACTTCCTTTTTTTTTTATGAAGAATCAAAGGGGCTGTATTATAGCTCAAAGAAAGTGTGTGCTGGGGCTGGGAAGGTAGCTCAGTGATAAAGTGCTTGCCTTGCATGCTTGAGGCCCTGGGTTCGATTCCTCAGCACCCATAAGCAAAAAAAAAAGCCGGAAGTGGAGCTGTGGCTCAAGTGGTAGAGCGCTAGCCTTGAGCTGAAGAGCTAAGGGGCAGCGCACAGGCTCAGAGTTCAGGCTCACGACTGGACCCCCCAAAACAACAACAACAAAACAAAAAAAAGAAAGTGTGTGCTTAGCAATGAGAAGCTACGAGATCAATCCCCAGCACCAAAGGGGAGGGAAACAGACAGATTTAAGAGCTACTTATATTTAGGGGCTGAGAATATGGCTTAGTGGTAGAGTGCTTACTGGCAGGCACAAAGCCCTGGATTCGATTCCTCAGTACCATTTAAATAGAAAAGGCCAGAAGTGGTACTGTGGCTCAAATGGTGGAGTGCTAGCTATGAGCAAAAGCAGCTAATGGATAGTGCCCAGACCTTGAGTTCAAGCCCCAGGACTGGCACGCACGCACGCACGCACGCACGCACGCACGCACGCACGCACGCACGCACACACACACACACACACACAAGTTACCTAGATTTAGATAAAGAACAAGGTCAGAATATTGTTTTAGTAGTATCAAGAACAAATGTAACCATCTGTTTTATGCTTCACATTTTCATGGGAAAGTGAGTTATAAAGAATAATATAAACTATTACCTTTATGACTATTATTATACAATGGAATATGAGATGGGCTTTCCATTCTAAGAATTTTTGCAACAGGTCTCACTGGACTATTCAGAGGACTGATAATTTCTGGAATAGGTCTCAGGTGACTTAAGTCGATACTCAAAACTGAGTTCTCATCATCATGATATACAGAGCTTATTTCCTCAATTTCTATTCTGGAGCCCATTAACTCAGTCTGTTGTGGTGACGATGGTAGAGCCTCTGTTGGTAAGCAAGGCTCCAAGTGACAAGACTTAGTCTCAACCACAGTACGTACAGGAGAAGGCTCAAATTTGGGCTTCCTGTCTTCTGAAAGGTTTACTGGCACACTGCTAAGTACTTCAACTGAAGGTATCTTAGGATTGTCACTGGTTTCAGTCACTTCTGTTGAAACAGACACCTTCATTTCCAAACTTTCAGAAATACCACAAAAATTCAAGCCATCCTGTCTTTTCATGTCCAATTCCAGACCACAGTTTTGAGAAGTATTGGTCTGTTTTACATCCATTACCAGAGAAGCTGCTGCCTTGGTATCATCCACAGTCTCTCCCATTTCTGATGATGATGTGCACAAGGATTCTCTTCGTTTCACTTCTGCAGTTGTTGAGATAGAAATATCTGTATCACAAATGGGTACTTCACAAGGCAAAGTGTTCTCAACAGACTTAACTAACAAACTATTTTCTTCTTCCACTTCACTTTCTGGAACACTGATTCTCAGTTCAGATGCTTCTGGAAGAGAAACCTTTGGTTCCAGAAGCTTTGATTTGGTTTCCTCTGACACAGCTTTATTAACAGAGGGAACAAATGTCACTGAGGACTCTAACTCACATTTGCCACTGGACGTAGGGACATCAGCAATTTTATGATTCTCCTGAGATACAGGCTGCTTTTTAGCAGGTGACAGAGTTAAGTTCAATTTTTCCATAAAGCTTAACTTTAAGTCTTTGTTTTTTGCTTCATTTGGAGCATCCACAGGATTCATTAAAAGCTCCTTATTTTCTGTGCCTTTAATAGCATTATTAAAGGCTTTACCTTTATCGCATTTTGGATCTTTCTTTCTCTTTAAATCTGTAGTGGTTTTCTTAATTTCTTTGTAAGTCTTTGGCAGATGTTCTGTAGGTGATTTTTTATCATTTTTCTTATGCCTATTTTCTTCTTTGTTTTTTCTCTTTCTCTTTTCTTCTTCTTCTTCTCTTTTCCTTTTATCTTCAGTTCTATGTCTTTCTGGCTTGAAAGGTGTGTTGGAAAGGTGCATAGCGTCCACTTCCTTGTGGGAGCTATGCTTGTAAGTTCGGCTTGACGAAGATGAACATCTTCCATCTTGAGAACTGTGACTGCTTACACTTCTCTCTCTTTTACAATCTTCCCTTCCTCTTCTCTCTTCTGGATAGTATTTACTGGAATTATGAGATTTTATTTCATTCTTGGAATGGGGAAGCACTGTTCGGTCAGGTTGCCGCCAATGATCTTGGTCCTTTACTAGTAATTTATGTTTTGGGTCACCTTTTCTTTCTTCTTTGTTCTGTGATTGAAGTTCTTTTCTACTCATATTTTGTGATCGTTCACTTTCTCTCTCCAGGTTTTTGTCATTTTCAGATTCAACTCGAGTATGTGACTTTTCTCTAGAAGTCTCTTTCTCCCAAGAAGAACTACGTTCACTTTTATATTCTGAATCTGTGCTGCTTCTAGACTTGGAATTTTTGCTCTCAGCCTTTGGTTCAGCAGGACCATGTTTCTCAGGACGTCTTTGTAGCCTTGGACTAGCCTCAGTGTTCCTTGGTTCACAGTTGTTACTTAAGTCTTTTCGGGTTCTGTCAGCAGTTCCTCTGCTATATGGGCTGTGAGAAGTATCTTTCCTCCCTCTTTTATTATCTTCATTTGAGATACCTTCACCAACTTGATCAGAACGTGACCAAACACCATTGAAGGTACAATGTTTCTCAGTAGGTGTAGGCAAAGCATTCTGTGTTTCAGAATGTGATTTTCCTTCCTTTCCCAAGTTTGGCAGTAGAGCGTTATGATGTATATCTTTAGGAACATCACTTTTAGTTTTGTTTTCAGATGTGGAACAATCATCCAAATGGGGAGTTCTGGATCTGAGATCTTTTGTTCTAACTGCATCTGATGTCCTTGAGACTTTATGATTATTTCGAAAATGTGGAAACTCAGATAATCTGGTAGAAACAGAAATTAATTATATTTAATAACATTCCAAATTTTATTTCCATGTAACACACTTTTAAAATTTAGGAGCCTTGCCAGGCACTGGTGGCTCCTGTCTGTAATTCTAGCTACTCAGGTGGCTGAGATCTGAGGATTGTGGTTCAAAGCCAGCCAGGGGAGGAAAGTCTGTGAGACTCTTGTCTCCAATTAACCACCAAAAAAACAGAAGTAGCACTGTGGGTCAAAGTGGTAGAGCACAAGTCTTAAGCAAAAGAGCTCAGGGACAGCCCTGAATTCAAGCCCCATGATCACCAATGACAAAAAATTACCATTGTGAACTGTGTAGCATTTCCTATCAAAATTTTCTATTTCTTATACACCAAAAAAAGCATCAATGGCCAACTGATGTGAAACCCAAAAGAAATATAGAGCTGTGATTCTTTCCTTAGAAGAATGACATGGATTTACTGTTGTTTTTTTTAAAAAGTCCACATCCTAATATAAAATTTGTCTTTTAGAAAACTGTTTTCCAAAATGTAGCAACTCCCTTTAGTTTTATTTTTGTTGCTGATTTTCCAATGTTCCTGTCTATGCAAAAATCTGTTCCTACTCAGTATTCTGGAAAATCCAAAACTAAAAGACCAGAAATAAGGCAAAATTGGTATAAAGCAAAAACTGACTTAAGAGACATATAACCTAAGGCAATATATAGATAGATCGTGTTATGAATTGAATAATATCATTCCTAGCAAAAAAAATCCATAATCTTATTTGAAGAAAATCTTTATAGGGGTAATCAACTTTTATATGTCATTAGGGTGAGCCATGATCCAATATGCCTAGTGTCGTTATAAAAAGGGGAAATTCTGACAAAAAAGATCAAAATAAGACAATGTAAAGACACACAGGAAGGAGACAGCATTTATAAGCCAAAGGACAGGTATGAAACAGATCCTTCCCTTAGAACCTTCAGACAGAACTAAAACTGCTAATACCTAGATGTTGGAATTACAGCATCCAGAAGTGAGACAATAAATTTCAAATTAAATTACCTATTTGTAATTTGTCATTATGACAGCCTTGGAACAGGTTCTGGAGGAATCTGAGGTCAGCCCAGGAAGAAAAGTTGGAGACTCCATCTCCAAAATAACTAGCAATAAAGCAGAGCTGAAGCTCAAGTAGTAGTGTACTACCCAAGCAAGCCAAGTGACAATAAGGCCCTGAGTTCAAACCCCAGTACAACTAAAAAGTAAGGTACCACTAAATAATGCAAAATGGTCCACATAATAGAACATTATTCACTCAATAACATAATTATTTATTGTCCAGAAAATTGAAAAAAATGTTGAGAACAAACACAGTTTCTGCTCTATACAGTAATCTTGTGGAAGAAACTATACTCAGTAATTCCATTCATGATTTAAAGAACTACAAATGAAAATGATGGTTAAGTCAAGACCAGAGAATTAATAAGTACTTAGTAATGAAGGAGAGGACCATTCCTGGCAATGAAAGGAGCCCACTCAAAGGCAAAACTCATGGTACTTCCAAAGAGCTGAAAGAATATTAACTATGACAGCTGGAGCGGAAGTACTGTGAATGGACTTCTGGACCAAGTTAATATTTATGACCTTTTATCCTAAAACAATTAAAAACCAATTATATATTTTAATCAAAAAAAGAGGATAAGACAGGCACTGGGGAATTGAGTACTAGTAGGATGGGAGTAGGTTAACAAGGAAGGTAAATAAGAATGAACAGTCATAGTAGATGTATGAAGATAAAGAATTAGTTGACATTGTTTTAGGAAGGGGAAGGTGGTAAGGGTAAGCGATAGAGGGGGTGAGATTGGTTGAAATGTGTGTGGAAATGTCACGATAAAACCCCCCCTTGTATAACCAATGTATGCTAAGAAAAAGTTAAAAGAAAGGAGGGTGGGATGAGGTCATTTGGGCAATACGGAATGGTCCAGATTTGTGCTTCACAATGCATCCTGTGGCTATTCTATACTATTGAGGAGAGGTAAACCAGAGACAAGAGAAAGCAAGACTGCAGGCAGAGATAGCAAAAAGCACAAAGATCACTGCTAGTTCAGATGGGAGATAGGCAGCAATAACTGCAGAACTAAAAGAGGTCAATGATTCACAAGATCATAAAGAGATAAACATGAGTATTGAATTTGCAGTATGATTGAAAGTTAAGCATCCAACAAAGAGTGACTATACATTTCAGCAAGCAATCTTGATGTGTAATTACTAAGGGCATCCCCTTTAACCCGTATGAATTCTAGTGTGGGCAATAAATGGTCACTCAATTCCTAGGACTCTAGTTTCCACTAACTAAATAATGAAGAAGACAGTCGACAGTCTACTGAGTTAGAAAACAATGGAAAACGTTGGGTGACAAATACATTTTCAGATGAGATAATTTTGAAAAACTTCTAAAGACATTTATGTACAGCCATCAAGTAGGATTGTATACATAAATGGAACTGATCTAGCATGGGTGAATTGTAGGAAAATCTTGATAGAAAAATGAAAGGATATAGACTTGGGCTTTCAGGTACTCAAACTCACAATATCCAAGTACAAAAATTAACCCCAGGAAGGAAACTAAAACTCATTAATTAGTAAATCCAAAGGAAAATACTATTAGGTAGCAGGAGATTGAACTGTGTCAAACAATGTACAAGAGGACAAGTGAAATAGAAAGTCAAAACTACTTGATGTTGATCAAAATGACAACTGCTTTATGGAGGCAAGAGTCAGATTGGGCGGGGTTTAAGAGTGGGAGAAAGAGAGGAAATGGAAGCAGTGAGTTCAGATATGTTTCTAAAGGCTTCACTATGAGGAGAATTATAAAACTTCTCCAAGTAGAATGTCTACCCCCTTACTGAAAAAAAAGATTACAAGCAAAATTCACAGAGAGACATCTACTTGAGAGGTTGTTATTAACAAGTATAGATGTCCTCCCCACCCCCGCTTTGCTAAGGATGAAATTAGGCCTGTGGTAGGCTAAACAAGCACTCTACTGCTGAGCTGTCTTCCTACCCCCTGCTGTCCTGGTACTTCAGTGATTCTGTGTGAACTTACAAGCAATAGTGACATATCAAATCTTCTCAAGGAAAAAAAAATACTTCATGCTTTAGAAAACCATATTCATGACAACGTACTATAAGTCACATACATACTAGTATGATAATGCATCATTATATTAATCACTAATCATATTACAACCATCAATATTTCATAAATTTTTCACTTTTCTGCTAAAAATAAAAATATATTCTAAATATCAATGCCCATGTAACTTGTAACAGATCTAACACTCTTTAGTTACTATACCTCTGGTGAAGATTATTTATTTCTTCATCCTTTCGGTTTATTTCCACTCTAGCAGTTTTGATAAGTGCTGAAATATTCTTCTTAAGAGATTGGTTTTCATTTTTTAAGCTGAAATTCTAAGATACACAATAATAAAATATATTAATAAAATAGATACTTACAGGGTATGAACAGTACTACTTACATTATTGCCTAGTAACTTTTTTGTTGCTATCATCTAGGTCTTTTTTTTTTTTTGCATTTATTTATTTATTTATTTTTGAGACAGGGTCTCACTAGATAGCCTAGGCTGGCCTCCAACTCAAGATCCTCCTGCCTCAGCCTCCCTGAGTGCTGGAATTACAGGTGTGCACCATCACATCCAACTTCCTTGTTTTTAATTTTTGAGACAAAGTCCGCCTATGTAGTCCAAGCTGGCTTAAATCATGGTATTTAGCTAAGGCTGGCTAGGAGCTGTCAATCCTCCCAAGTACTCAGACTCCCAAGTACTGCCAATATAGGCTGTGACACCATGCTCAGCTTGCTAACGATCAGTGAATAATAACTCCATGTTATGCATGTCATCTTATGTAATTGTTTGAAAACAACAACAAAATCAACTATTAGAATAACTATGATTCCCATTTCTTAGACAAGGAAGCTGATATTCTGAGAAGTAACTGATAGCAGAAAATCCCACTTAAAGTAAAAGTGCTTAAAAGAAGGATCCTAATGGAAAAACAAAAACAACAACAACAAAAAAAAACAGGTGGTGGCACATACATGTAATCCTAGCTATTCAGGAGGCTGAGATAGGACAATTGTAGTTTGAAGCCAGCCCAGGCAATAAAATCCAAGACTCTCATTTCCAAATTGACCACAAGAAAATGGGAAGTACAGCTGTGGCTTAAAGTTAGTAGAACACTTAAAATGGTAGGCTTAAGCAAAAGCTTAAGCCCCCTGAGTTCAAACCCCATGACCAAAAACAAAAGCAGGAAAAAAAAGGTTTGTCTGGTCCATCATATTGAAAATTAAAACCAAAAAAAGCAGTAAGAATATTATACTTAAACATTCAACCATGTATTAACACTCTGATAAACAAAGACAATTTGTTCTCAGATAAACATCAAGAGTTGATTAGTTCTTTAAGGGGAAAAGAAACAGAAGAGAACATTTTTACCAAAAAGTAAAAATCAGAACAGAACATCCTATTCCTGAGTTTTGAAGCACAAGCCCATGAAAGATCATTCTAGCAACAATTGGGAAGTCATCACTATTTTTCCATAAAAGTCATTTCAAAGCTTTCAATCTTTACTTCTTATGACTATTTCTTTGTGGGGCAGATAAGATAAGGTCTGCTATGTAGCCCAGGCTGTTCTGGAACTTGTGATATATTTGCTCACTTTCCTGAGTGCTGAAATTAACAATAGGTACCACCACACTTAACTTTTAAAGGCATTAATTTATAAATCATCCATTTGTTACTTTTATCAATTGGCTACGAGTTGGTTTAAGTCTGAACAGATCATTTATGTTAAAGTCATTTTAGCAATTCAACTTTCCTGTATCAATTTCATATCAAAAAGTAATGTTAGAGATTAGATGTGTCGCTCAAATGATAAGACTACATGCTTAGTATGTGGCAGCTCTGGCTTTAAACATCAACATAAAGGGGGAAAATCCTTCCTTATAGATTGCCAACACTTTATCATTTTAATTCCCATTTTTATACATGTTATAAATACGGGCTGTGTTACAGGGGCTGCAACTAAGTGGTAGAGCACTTACTTTGAGGATGGGGGATCCAGGTCTTGATTCCTAGTACTATATTTAAAAAAAACAAAGCGAAGCACTAGTGGCTCACACCTGTAATCCTAACTACTCAGGAGGCTGAGATTTGAGGATCTTAATTGGAAGCCAGCTCGGGCAGAAACATCACTGAGGCCTTAATCTCCAATTAAACAGCAAAAAGATGGAAATGGAGCTGAGAAGCTTTGAGAAAAAAAGAAAAAAACAACAACAACAAAAAGGGAGAATGTGAAGCCCTGACACTCAGTACAGGTGCAAACACACAAGTGAACACACATACACAAAAACAAGAGCTTCTTTATACATTACTAATGTTAGTACCTTAAATTCTATTCATAACAACAATTGAGAAAGAGAAAGACAGAGACAGAGAGAGAAAGAGAGAGATGGATTTTCACTATGTTGCCCAGAATCGGTCTGAACTTCTGGACTTGGTGCTTTCCCATCACAATCTCCTGATTAGCTAGTAAATTTTAAGACTCCCTACCCCCACTAGGAATTGAACCCAACTTTTCTTGAAGTTTGGTGGGTTTGTTTTGTTGTCTTTTTTTTTTTTTTTTGGCGTGGCCTAGCCTCTGCTACTTGAGCCATACCTTCATCCCTGCTTTTGGCTGGTTATTTTGGAAAGAGTCTCTAAACTTTTCTGCCCAGGGAGGCCTTGAAACTCCATCCTCTAAATAGCTAAATAGCAGCCTCCTGAATAACTTTATAAGTATAAGCCACTAGCACCCTCCTTTATCTTAAATGTTTACAAAGCAAAAATAAAAATATTCATCCAGGCACCAGTGGCTCACACCTATAATACTAGCTACTCAGGAGGCTGAGATCTGAGGATCGCAGTTCAAAGCCAGCCCGGGCAGGATAGTCCAGGAAACTCTTATCTCCATCCAATAAACCACCAGAAAACCAGAAATGGCACTATAGTTCAAGTGGTAGTGTGCTAGCTTTGAGCTAAAGAGCTGAGGGACAGTGCTCAGGCCCAGAGTTCAAGCCCTATGACCGACAAAAAAAAAAAAAATTCATTACATTGTTACCTGTGTCTGTATTTCCTTAAACTTCTTCATTAACTCTTTCATTTGCAGCTGACATTTTCCATATTCTACCTGCAACTGTGAAACATAAAAGAATTAATTCAATCACTATTTTAAATATTTTCACAATTTAAATGATTTTAAGAATATTTAAAGTTTTCAATCCACTAAGAAGGGTAAATGAGGGCTTTTCACTGACAGAAGTTAAATCAGATTACTTGAGGAGGGGATTTGTTTGTGAGGTCTTGCTATATATCACAGGGTTGCCTCGAATTTCTCATCCTCTTGCCTCAGTCTCCCAAGTGCTGAGATTACAAAGTGTGCACCAACACTGATGACTGATTACTACTAACCTAGTCACTAAAGAGAAATTAAATTTCATATACAACCTCCTTTATATCCATAAAATTCAAAGATAGCAGAAAGAAATTTATCTCACTTAAGTCTCAAAACACATTTTACAACACACAATTTAATTCAGTGTAAATCAAGGAAAACAAAATGTTGTAAATCATACTGACAGCCAAGTGAAATGCATTTTTATCTAAGAATTCCTAACCACAGAATATTTGTTTAATAGTAAGCTGCTGCCTGCTCTTCAATAAATACAAGAAAAATTAACAATCCTTAGTAACCAGGGCAACCCATACATCATTATATGTTGCCTCCTTTGCGGTTCCTTCTTCGGTCAGGATCTCTTCATATAAGTCCAAACAGTTTCTGAATGACACACTGGACTTAGAGGTACTATCTAAAACAACAACAACAAAATCCTTACGTTAAAATATTTATTAGGCTTCACGATGCCATGTTTATCTCAAAGGGTTATATATTTACTATCTCAACATTTCATGTAAATCTGTACTGATTTTACAGTTGACAGCTGGAAGATCAGTTTGCATAAAAATGACTGTGCCAGTGAATTAAGTGTGAAGATCATGTTTGTTGAAGACATTGAAAGATCTGATTCTAAAAAAGGTTCTAATTTGGAGAAGTCATTAGATTCTCTTTCTTACTGATATTTTCTTTTTGGGTCCGGTCATGGGACCTGAACTCTGGGCCTGGGCGCTGTCCCTCAGCTCTTCAGCTCAAGGTTTGCACTCTACCACTTGAGCCACAGCACCACTTCCGGCTTTTTTTTTCTACTTATGTGGTGCTGAGGAATCGAACCCAGGGCCTCAAGCATGCAAGGCAAGCGCTCTACCACTGAGCCACCTTCCCAGCCCCTTGATGCTTTTTTTTGTTGTTGTTTGGTTGGTTGTGGGGCTTGAAATCTGGGCCTGGGCACTATCCCTGAGCTCTTCAACTCAAGGCTACCACTCTACTACCTAAGCCACAGCGCCATTTCCTTATTGATGCATTTTAAAACATTTATAGTAACAGGAATTTTTTTTTTTTGGGTCCGGTCGTGGGGCCTGAACTCTGGGCCTGGGCACTGTCCCTCAGCTCTTCAGCTCAAGGCTAGTGCTCTACCACTT